TGGTTTAAGGGGGTAAGCAGAGATCTTCGGTGGTTGAGTAAGTGGTGCCTGCGCAGACCTCACGCCAAAGAATAGGTTACAGAGAAATTGTTGTTTATGGTGATAATTAATGTTTGAACGGAAATTATATATTTAAAGATATTTTATAATAAACGGCTGCTACAGCCATTTTATATCCAACCTGGTGTGGTCCATTATTTAAGGTGGGCATGGGTCATGGAGGGGTTAAGGGTTGTAGTCAGCAGTGGGTGGTTGGGTCATAGGACGGCTGTGCCTTACCCTGTCATGAGTAAGGAGCACATAATACCCCTGATCATTCACAAAATGTAAAAGTGTAAATAATACAGAGAGATTTGACAAGTTTTTTTAAATCTAAAAATAAAGAACCCCTACCCTCAAAAAGAGTCACATGTTAAACATTTATCATCAGTTACATCATCCAACTATGCACATCCTCCGCAATCACGTTGAATGACGCTTGACGACCGTTGAAAGAAAAAAACCTGCCAACTGACACATCCACACGCGATGGGAGAATACTATGGAATGACAGCTGAATGTAAACAGAGGGGCAGCGTATACCCAGTGATGACATTGACCAAAAATAAACCTGTCTATTTTTGGTCAATTGCACCGACTATACATTGCCCCTTTGTTTACATTCCACTGTGGGGCCTTGAGCTGTGATTCAATTATATTTTAAAATATGTTTGTTTTTTTTTTTATTATTTTTTGTGAGTACATTATTATCATCATCATAAAATGTCTTGGTAAAAATAGAATTCTAATGCAATATTTTCTGGTTTGTATCAGTGCATTAGTGAAAATCCGTAACAAACGTCCTTTTGTGATCTCTCGATCCAATTTCCCCACTCTTGGGCGCTATGCTGGACACTGGACAGGAGACTTAGAAAGCACCTGGGAGCAGCTTTACTATACAATACCTGGTAAACTAATCTTGATTCTACTTTAGAATCCATGATGTTCATTCACCTTGATGGCAATCTTTTAATTTGCCACTTTTTTTTTAGCTATCGTACTGTGTAATATGTACGGAATCCCACTAGTGGGGGCAGATCTCTGTGGATTTGTAGGGGATGCCTCGGAGGAGCTATGTGTACGCTGGAGCCAGGTTGGGGCCTTTTATCCATTCATGAGAAATCACAACACTAAAGATGCAAAGGTAAGGATCAGAACAAAGTTGTAACTGCCTGAGATTTTTATATTAATATTAACTGTATAAGTGCCTTTCTAAAACCAAATTTAGTGTATGCAGCTAGGCTGTAGGAAGCCTGAGCTTTGTTTGTTATCTAGGATAGCAAGGTTTCTCCTAGACTCAAGGACCTTTCTTACTCCTTACTTGTGTGCCCCAGTAGGTAGAGTGAGCAGATACAATGTATTGGGTAGTGAAAATGTATCCTGCCCTGGGGTTTATGCCAGCGGTCTGGGCTAGAAAGACCATAAATATTTGTGGAGACCTTCTAGAGGGTCCTTTCCCTTCCCAGCTTTGCCTGCAGAGGATGTAGTGGGGGAAGGTCCTTGTCTCCTAGGCAGTTGCTTAGGGAGGCTATTATGGTGGAAAGGTCCAATATTTCCCTTCCAGGCTCTTTGCCCAGAGGAGGAAGCCAGAGCCAAGAAAAGGTGTTTGTTCTCCTAGATGCCTATTTGGGCCCAGAGTGTCCTTAACTGTCCTTTGGCAGAAGCCTAAAGAGTTCTAACCTGTCCTGTGGCAGAGGCCAAAGATGCCAAAAGGTAGCCACCCATCTGGGCTTACAGAATCTACTCTGGTCTGTAGCAGTTCTGCAACTGACCTGTGACAGACGTCAAAAGATATTGGAATAAATTAGTCAGTCTATGCCTAAAGAGTTCACTAAAAACTCTACTGAGTGAGTAGAATTTTTGCTGATATTTGTGGGTATCCTCTACCCCTAATCCTCTCTCTCCAAGACAATTGAGAAAATAAACTGGTACAAAAAGCTGGAAGGATTTAAAGTATGTTGCTGTTCATTGTGTGTGTGTGTTTAGGTTAGTAAATCACCCCCAATGAGTGTCTGGGTGAAGCAACAGAGCAGGTCGCCACTAGGTATGGCAGGAAAGACCCCTTTAAATTCCAGCAACTTTAGAGTGGGTCATAGCTACAATATCATGCAGACCTCAGTTTGTGAAATATTTACCCTAACTAAAAAGAAATCCAGAGTATTTGTGGGAAATAATAATGAATAGGTAAATATTTACTTTAAAGTAAGCATATGCATTGCCCTTGTAGGCCAAATAATAGATTCACTTAATTGCTGCCCTTTCCCGCTGCACATACTCCACTTGCCTTCCTTCTCCTGCCAATGGGAGCAAAGAGAAATACTCTGTACTTTTAAGTATGGGGGAGAATCTAACCCATTTCTCTGCCTCCCATATTGCAGTGCTGGTGATTGCTCAGGCAACCAGTTCTGCTACATGTGGTTGGAGAGTGAGTCACTAGCTATGTGTAAGCTATGGGTCATGTCTTGGATCTTACACAGAGCTTTCTCTCTTCACTCCCAACAGTGGGAGTGCAAAAGGAAGAAGAGTATGTTTGTTATATGTTGATAGCTGGGAAGACCGTTTGGTTAACAAACCATGTTGCTTTGCCTTAAATGGACAAAGCACATGTTTACTTAGTGTTTTGCTTAGTTTCCCTTAACACTCTATTGTTTGCATTTATCATTTATGTCTAATTTATGTCAAGATTAAAACTCCAAAAAGGTTATCATACAGTTCAAGATGTACACATGACTGTTGTTTGTTGCAATTATACACACTGATCTGCATTCTGGCGAATTTTAATCTGTAGTATTCATTTTCATCATGCATGATTTTACAATCATGCATAATCCAAGTTTATACTGTTTATACAGAGGTTTTAACTATTTGCACAGGCCACAAAACCAGTGGGGGGACTTGTTGCAAACAGGCTTCTGGCGCAATATTCTTTTAATATTTTGGGTAGAGTTCGAAAAGATTAAAACCCTGCCAGACTTTGTTGCTGTCTATGTCTCAGTGAGATTTCTCTTTACTTCCTGTCGCAGAGACACAACAGACAGTTAGTAAAATTATAGCCAAAGTGAGAGAAATACCCTCTAGTCAGTTGTCACCAGAACAGGGGTCCTCATTGGAAGATTTCCACGGATCTCATGTTTTGGTGACAACTGTAAATTTTTCATGTTCCCATCACTTTCTTTCCTATTAACAATGACCATCAGACAAATAGAAAGGCTGATGCTTACCAGCGGGGACCCTGAGAGCTCTGAAAACAATTGTTTATTGCTTCCCTACTCTATCTAAAAATAAGAATTTGACTAGAGATACATTTTTAATTGGTTTATTGTCCACCAAAGGTGCTCCCATCTTCTGCCATCAATGGGTTTTGTTTTCTCTATTTTAGTCACAGGAGCCATATGTTTTCAGCAAAAAAGCTGTGGATGCCATACGAAAAGCTACACTAGCAAGATATATGCTGCTTCCCTATATGTACACATTGTTTTATAAATCCCACATGTCTGGTGAAACTGTGGTTCGAGCCCCTTTTATGGAGTGAGTACCATTTCAGCTTACTGTTCTGTTTGTTTAGATGCAGATTCAAAGGGGGACATTCATTAGTTCTGTTGCATTGCAAAGCAGTGCTAAACAGGGGAAGTGAGACAGATTTAGGCCCCATTTACACCTATATGTTTAGGTGCAATTAGGCATTTCTGCATCAGGAAACTTGCATTTTCCTGCAGCAGGAATCCCTAGTCTGCCATTTACAGTTTATTCAAGTTAATGATCGGGTAACAGCCGCTGCATTTAAACGTCAGCACACCGCATGTAATCATATATAATATGATTACATGCGGTTAGGAATCAATCACTCTCCCTGGACACACAATCGAGGCTTTTTTCCTGATGTCACTGGTTGCCAGGAGCTGGGGGGGAGACCGGCCAGAACATTCCAGGTTGCTACGAGCTAGGCGTGGAGTTGTGTAAGGGCCATACAAATCTCCCCACCCAGCTCTTAGCAACCAGAGTGGATGGGAAGATGTGTATGCGGTCGGGAAGCTGGCCAGAGAATCTCAGGTTGCTAAGAGCTGGGCAAGGAGATGTGTATGGCCCTTATGTCCCGCCCACTTCCTGGCAACCAGTGACATGAGGGGCACAGTCTGCTGTAAATACACCTCTGCCTATTGACATCTCTTTCGTACTCCTTTAGGTTTCCTCATGACCAAAATACATGGACAATTGACCACCAGTTCATGTGGGGAGAAGCTCTTCTAATCACCCCAGTTGTGGAGCAGGGAAAAACCGTAGTAACAGGATATTTTCCTGCTGGAATGTGGTACAGTCCAGTCCGGGTAAGCTTTAATTTTTTTAACTACACCACAAATTAATGTATTGGAGATGAGTCTCTAATCATGCATTTTCCATATTGCCAGGGTCTGTATAATTTATTCCAGAAACATAACTGTCCCAAAACCAAAGAGCCCTTGTGCAAAGTCTAAACAGGGGTCACCTTGTATCTCATAAAATATTGTTAATGGTTCTTTATCACATATGCTGTTAATTTGCAGACCAAAGCAGACTACAAGACCCAGTAGAGGAGAAAACAACAGAATACAAATCTCTATAGTAGTTACAAAGAACAAATACAAGACTTTATGGAAGTCAAAAGCTTTTGGGTGTGGACAGAACTGAGGCCATTTTAAGACACTGGTGAACATGTCTTATCTGGGCCTCCTTTCTATGTTTCAAATTTCTGCTGACACAAAAAATACCACTAGTAATTGTATATAAGGAGTGCTATAGGTTTTCTGGAATTAAAGAGCTCAGTATTCTTGCTCTCTCTCTTTTCAATCTAGTGTTCCAGTTTTTGTTTTAAGTGTGTATAACAATCGTCCACTTAAGCAGACCTAAACTGTTTGTCATCTGGTATAGAGACCTTCATCAGACTTGGGCCCTATTAACAGTGTTGTGCTGCGTTAGTACATGTGTGTTATGGCACGTTTTTACGTGCCTTACATTTAACCATTCTTTGAATCTAATGCACCATAAAAGCACCAAGAGAAGGTGCATGTACTATTTTGTGTAATGCAGATCACTACAAGGCACAAAAGTGTCTTACTGTGTGTTATGGTAGGCTGCAACACATGCCTATTGGCAAAGTGCATTGAAATGCCATTCAGATTGAATGGCACCATATTGCACCAACGTGCATAACATACGCATTATTGTAGCTCGATGGTGTGAACAGGCCTTTACATACAAGAGTTCTAGTAACTGCTTTCAGAATGGAAAAATGAAGCAACTGGGCAGGTCACCAAGATCTGAGATCTTCTTACCAAAGAGGGGTTGTAATACAAACAACCACCAATATATCATATGAAAGCTGAACCTCCCAAGCTTGGAACCCGCAGGCTAACGTTGGTTTCCCTGGGTCTGATGGGAATCCTGAAAAATGCCAGGTGCGCCTTTTGCCGATATGGTTAAAGCAGCCCTGGATAAATGGATCATGGCTAGTACTAAAAAGAACATTGTCTACATTCAACATCAGCCTTTGCTGATATATTTTTGTTTGGATAAAGTAGATGAAGGGGAGAGGTTTATAACCTCTGTCAGGTTTTTATTCGTGTCTGGGAGCACATTGAGAGTTTTTTCCTAATTTCTTGTTCACAGAAACAAAGTGCACAAAATCTCTTTATTTGGGATACAAAAGCCATTAAAACACTTTGTCACAGCGCTAAAGGTTTGAGATATATTGAGAGGAGCTTGCTGTCCATACACCATCTGGTGAGTAACCACCGTTTGGGGGGCTTCAGATCGGGTGAGGAGGAATTGTGGAACTCTCATCAGAACGCTCATATTGATTTTTATATAACTTATCTATTTTTTTCGTATATATATATTTTTTGGTGCAGTTTGTGTTAGTTCACATCACGGACTGAAATTTCTGGAAGGACTTGTGTTTTTTCTTTTTTCATTTTTTCGTTTTTTTCATTTTTTGACATCCTTTTCATCTTTGTATTTGCAATACAATTGTTTGAAAATTGCAATACAATACAACTGTTTTCACTGCTAATTTGCACTTCTTCACATATTTATGAAATCATTTTATTGAATGGTTATTTAATTTTTTATAGTTCACTTCGATATACTTAGTTTTAATATTTTTATAGTGTGATATCCTGTTACATTTATTCACTTATCCTATTGAGGAATGTAGCTTTCCTTTTGATTGTTTGCACATCAGCACTTTTTCAGTCCTTTATGGTACTTTATATTCATTATTGGTAGGTTTTTTTGAAGACTTACACACAGGGTGTCACTCATGTTTTGATCCATATATATTCACATATTTTCATATTTATCTCAAACCTTTAGCGCTGTGACAACACTTTACACTTTCACTTTACACCTCTCATAGCAGCTTTAGGATCATTATTTGACTTTTAGTTTACTTTCCAAAAGCGCAGATTTTTTGTTGCAATCATTAAAACACTTTGCAGCAGGGTAGGAAATAGTTACAAGCTCTGTCACTGAAGGTGGTCATATCTATTTTTTTACGTAGTTTGTATGATCATTGTCATCAAAAATATCTTTAATCAAATGAAAAAATAAATACAATGATGATAATGTTTAACTTTGAATTGGCCAGACCAGTATTTATAAATCAATGCTAACAAAGCCTATAGAAGAGCTTTAATAATTCCCCACAAAAATTTAAAATACCATTTACTCCAGACAAAACTTTTTTTTTGTTTTGAAAAGAACGAGGAAGAGTAAATACTAGTGTTAGGTTTTATTGTTGTATGTGACCCCCATTTAGGAGATTTTACCTCACTTCTTGAGCAAATTAGTTGTCACTTGGAAGACATAGGCGTAACAGACGTCCTAATCTGTTTTACTGAAAATAAGTAAAAGATTGTGACAAATGAGTTTGCTTAGAGCTGGCTTTTAAGATGTAAAAATTAAGTCTTGCAATCATGTCTGGTTTTGTTCCCTGTTGCAATATATTTTAGTGAGCTTTAATAAATGTTAGGATTTACAAATAGCAATCCTCAAGATGATTTAAAGTGTGTATATGTGTGTAATATATACAGGGCTTTTTTTTCCTGGCAGAACTCACCAGTACGCAGTACCAGAACCTACCGTCAGCCCTTTAATTCTTTTTTTTTTTTTTTGTGATATAGAATCGCAAAAAAAAAAACGTAGAAAGGTGCCCTTGCGGCAAGCATTAACCCCCCTGCACGAGGTGATGATGCTCGTCTGTCGCCGTACACTTGCCGTACAGACCATGACCAAGTGTTTCTACGGCAAGTGTACGGACACGGCGCCAGAAGACAAGCGTCATCACCCCATGTAGGGTGACGATGTTTGTCTTCTGGAGCAGGTTACCACCAAAAAACTTCATTGCCGGTGGCCATCTTGCGCATGCTCATTGCGTCCCCACTACCACAACCAAAATGGCCACCAGCATTGAGGTTTATTGTTGGCAGCCATCTTGGTTGTGGCATATGTGTAGTGCTTTCCTGCCCACAACAAAGAAGGCCACCGCGTTCTTTTTGTGGGCAAAAAGGTACCGTGAGTATTGGCACTTTTTTCCCCAGAAAAAAGGTACTGAATAAATATGTGAGAAGTGAGAAATTTTCTACAAAACAGAATTCCTCCCTTTAGACAGTTGTCACCAATTGATTTCCCTTTAAAGAAGAACTATGAGGTGAGTGCTTTTCACTCACCTCATAGTTCTAGCCAACCTGTGACAATGAGACTGTCACAGGTCGGCTCAGTAGATCGGGAGGTGAGCGAACACATACCGGCGTTCGCTCACCTCTCGATCCTGTCACGGCTCTCTGCCATGACAGGGGAGGGGCTGGATTCCACACTCCCCGCTCCGATCCGCCAGCGCTGACTGGCGGAACGGACGGGGAAGGGCCGGGTACAGCTGGCTCTGCCTCTAGATAGGCAGAGCCAGCTGTCAGTCACGCAGCTGGGCGGATCCCGCCACAATTGTCGGGATCCGCTTCAGCGTCTCAGTATACCGCGAGCAGCTGCTTGCGGTATACTGCGGCGTCTCAGTGTACCGCGAGCTACAGCTGCGGTATACTGAGCCTAGGGTGACGGGAGGACGCTAGTCCTCCCGTTACCCTAAGGAGAACTATGGGGAAAAGCCTAAACCCCCATAGTTCTCCTTTAACTCTTGTTCTGGTGAAAAATGTAAAAGTTTGGATTTCCTATCATTTTCCTTCTCAGTGACAAGGGTCACCAGAAAAATCAAATAGGGTTATGGCTATGCATATGCATTTAAGCAGTTTTAGGACCATGGCTATACCGCTCTAAACAGCAGATTTCTTCTTGCTGCACTTACTATGGTCACAGGCTTGCAGCAGCTTTTCCACTTGTTTACTTTTCTCATAAGGACCGTCAAACATTTTAGCTTTTGTAGTGGAAGCCATTTCTTTTCCTTTGGCAGTATGTGCTCTCACTGAAGAAATTACCCCTTTATGTCTTGTACTGCAGATACAAGATGTGAAGAAATGCTCCCTGATATGTTCACAGAAAGCATATAAAAACCTTTGAGGTGCTAAGCCTCCTCACGCTTATCCATAACTAAAACAAAATCCAAGTTTCTAATTTTATTCCCATTTTTATAAATTATGTATTTTTCTTATTCTATTATACAATAACTATATTGACACCTAAAAACATTATTTTTAAATTAATCTATGCCGATCCTATCTAAAATATATTACAGGGTACAGGATTCGAAAGTAAAGGTGAATGGAAAACCTTTCCAGCTCCTTTGGACACTATTCATTATCACATTAGAGGTGGCTATATCATACCTGCTCAGGTAAGTAGACCTTTTGTTTAGCAGAGCTGCTACTAACCTGCAATTCATTAATCCAATATGGGGCCCATGAAAACTCAGATTTCCATATAATATTTAAACACCGAGAGAAGTAAACAAAATTTTTTACAAACTAGCTAAAGTAAGCCTTAAGTTATATGCACATCTAGACATTTCATGTATGACTTGAACTTAACCCCACTCTTCCTACCTCTCAAAGCTCTCTTTTGGTGCCTTAATATGAAAAGCATTTCACTAACAAATAGAAACAGGCATTACAGAGTACCACCAGCCTCAAAGCCCCATTCCAGCCAAAATATGAAGCCACTCCTGCCACTCCTCCCAACTCATGCTGCAAGGATTTTTAGTTTTCTTACCTATGAAGGTATACTCATCTACATCCATGCCTAGGTTCTTCACCAACATTGTTTCTGGGTGAAGGGGACTACTAACCCAGCACTGCAGATGCACCCACACCAGTGGCGTAACCAGAGTTATGGGCGCCCGGGGCAGAATTTTTTTTTCGCCCCCCCCC